TTCCTCAGGAGTTCTCCGAGCAACAGCCCTTTGGTCAGGGTACCCTGGCTGGGGATCAAGAAGCCCCTGAGGGTGGCTATGCCTCTCCCCATCTCTGAACAGCGCCCCTGGTCTCCTCCACAGTGCACATGTGGTGCCAGGAACCTTGCCTTCTGCCTTCTTCCAGCAGCCAGGCCAGCAGGAGGCCTCCGGTCCCACCCCCCGCCCCCATTCTGTCACATTTGCCTCCTTGGGCAAAGATCTCAAGCAAGGACACAGTCTGAGGTTTACAGTGCATTCAAGGATGAACTAATAATGAGGTGTAAAGCTCTCCTCAGGTCGGTTAACAATAAGAAGTGTAAAAACAGCTACCCTTGTGTTCTCTGTGCTAAGTACTATATATCTTATAAGCATTTTCATCTTCACACCTCATACCTCACCTGTAAAGCAGGCAGGGATCAATGCTGTTTAACAGATAAGGAGGCTGAGGCAGAACAATTTGTCCAACATCACGTATTCCGCAAGTGGTGAAGTGTTTCATTCCCGGCAGAAGCCCCCACCTTGAGAAGTGGTCTCTTTGGGGGAGCCCTGGCTCACAGGGAAGTGCAGAACATCTGTAGCCTGTGCCGCACAGTTATGTCACTGTTCCCTTTTAAAATTCCTTTGTGTGTGCTAACCCTTCTACCAGGACCATGCACCGTCTCTTTAAAACGATCATCCACTGCATATCCCAGAGTGCAGTCACATACCTGGGACTTAATCATTGTTGATTGATGCCTTTTTTATGTTGTGAACAGTGATTCTCTTCATTCATTTAATAAACACTCACTGGAGCCCACTTCTGTGCTGACAGTGTGCTGGTTTCTAAGAGGACTAGTGAGATGAAGGGGGGGGGGGGGGGCATGGCCTGAGATCCCCTGGCCTGGCGCTGGGGCGAGGGTTGCAGCATGAGATTTCCTGGCACTGAGGCAGAGGGCGTGGCCTAAGGTCCTCCATCAAGCCCTCCAGGTGAAGGGCACAGCCTGAAGTCCCCTCCATGGGGCAATGGGTGCGGTCTAAGTTCCTTCACCCTGGCCAGGTGCTATGCAGCCTCAGGTCCTTGGTGTTTGGTTCTGATGTTATGGCCTCCTGACTAATTTGCATATTCTTCTATTAGATAGATAGATAGATACATAGATACATAGATACATAGATAGATAGATTCTGTTTCTCTAGAGTACCCTGGCTAATCCACCAAGATTCCTGTGGTTTAAGAGGTTAGCTCTTCTCATACTTACATTGCAAATGTTACCGTTGGTACGCTGAAATCAAGCCCCTTTAGTTACCTGGGCATTTATTGTTCTTTTTATAAGCTAAGCTACCTGATCTTTTTTAAAAAAATATATTTTATTGATTTTTTTACAGAGAGGAAGAGAGAGGGATAGAGAGCTAGAAACATCGATGAGAGAGAAACATCAACCAACTGCCTCCTGCACACCCCCCCCCCCCCCACACACACACAGGGGATGTGCCCACAATCAATGTTCATGCCCTTGACCAGAATCGAACCTGGGATATTTCAGTCTGCAGACCGACGCTCTATCCACTGAGCCAAACCGGTTTTGGCAAAGCTAACTGATCTTTTGTTTTAGGTCCCATACCATATGATAAATTAGAAAATGGATTCCAAGATTTAGACTCTGCCACAAGCCGGAGTCTAAGCTCTGGGTTCTAATTCAGGTTTATGAAAGCTCTGAATTGGGGAATAATGTTCACTGTTTCAGCCATGAATTGGTACTTGTTTTGCACTTGCTCTTTTCCCTGGTGTGTAAATTTCATTTGGAAGCTTGGTAGAGAGGAGTTGTGATTGGCAGGGATTTTTAGGTCTCTGCTTTGATAATACCCTCCTCCCCCAAAAAAACAAACAAACAAACAAAAAACTACCAAAACTTGACATAGCCCACTGGCTACATCACAGACACAGAACAAAGTGTTATCATTGAAGCAAAGCCATCGACCATGGGACCCAAGGATAGCAGACTTTTGACTTGATGGTGAAAAAGGAATTTTTAGGAGTGAAAAGGGCAGGTTTAGATAATTTTTACAATTAAGGGGTCCATGGAATAACACAGAGCTACAAAGGTTACATTTCCATAGGACAAGGGAATTGGAAGAGGCAGCAGTTACATTTCCATAAGACAAGGAAGGTGGGAGAGGCAGCAGTTACATTTCCTTAAGATAAGGGAACTGGGGGTAGCCAAAGGTCTACAATATATTTACAAAATAAAGAAGGAGGGCCTCATATATCCCATGGGAGGTTTGACCTTTGAACTAAGGAGTTGCTCTAGTGACCAAACCAAAGGGGAATAGTGATCATTCAGAGGGGATATCAAGGCACCAGGATCTGCAGCCTTTACAAACCATGGAAAAAGGAACTCGGTGGGACTCTTTCCCCCTCCCCACGTGGGAGTCTGTACTTGTTCTTCAATAAATTTCCACCTTTGCTATACTATTTTCCATCCATGGATTCATTTTTCTACTCCGACGGACAAAGAATCCGGGGAAGCCATTCTGCCCATGGGAACACCGTGTCTTCCAGTCCCCAAATCCCCTATCAATGGCATTGTGGAATGTATGTGTTTTTAGGTCTCTTTTCCAACACTGTCCAAGAAATGGCCTTGGAATATAATGAGAGCTAAGTAATGCCTGTGATAGGGCAGGGTTAGACTGTGACATCAGCCTTTGAAAAGAGACTGATACACAACTGGGTAAGCAAGGCCAGCAACTCCAATGTATCTGCAGTAGGAAAACAACGCTTCTTATTATCTATGTAGAAATAGACACCCACCCGCACATATTTATTAATGCCCTTTATTAGTCATAATCCTTAAAGCCTATTAAATTCAAATAACTTCCCAGGTACCTCTTAGAGAATGTGATAAACCACCTACAAAGTTTTGTACTCCATAACAAATTTAGACATTGCCTTTAAAAAAAAAAATCTGGATCATAACCAGTAACACTCTACATTTATACTCTAAACACCAGGGCTCCATTACTCTACTTATTCTTATGAATATATTTGCATGTGATGTGATCCTATCCACTTAAAATGGGCACCACTCTCTCCTTATTGTGGGCTTTGAGTTTGTAATGCATTTACTTCTCCCCCCTGCAAAGATCTCACACACATGCTACTGAGCAGAATCACCTTCAGCAGGTGGGAGATAAACAAGAGCTGCTTCCCATCATCCAGCCATCAATTTTCTGAAAGGCAGACCACACGGCTGCTTTGAAATCCCGGAGAGAGCTGCAAGGGAGCAGGGAGGTAAACCTGAAGGAAGAGTGGATTGGAAATAAGGCTAATCTCTGTCATCTAGGTGTAGTAGATGGCTGTTGGCAAAGCTAAAACTGCCAGATTCTATCAAAAGAGAATTTAGATGATTGTTAAAAAAAAAAAAGGGGGGGGTGTTCTTTTTTCTGTTCTCATTTAAAAAATAAATAAATCTTTATTGTTGAAAGTATTACATATGTCCCTTCCCCACCCCGCCCCCCATTGCTCTCCCTCTCCCCCAAGTCTTCACCACCCACTGTCTGTGTCCTTGGGTTATGCATGGATGCATATGAGTTCATTGGTTGAGCTCTTCCCCCTGTCCACCCTTCCCTGCCTTCCCTCTGAGGTTTGACTGGGTTAAGTGTGCTAAGTAAAACAATGAGAAATTTAAAGAGATCTTGAATAACATGTTAGCAGAATTGATTGCTTTTAATTAAACAGTAGCCAGCGTGTAATGCACAATGTTAACACTGCTCATGAAGTCTTCCCTTTTGTTTATGTTGCGTAATAGAATCATACATAAATGGATTGTAAAAGTAATTATTTTGTGTCAATTTCTTCTCGAAAAACAACATGGTAGATAAAAATTTTGGCTTGATATATATTTTTTTCAGAACAGTTATGACTTTTATAAAAATTGTAAACATATTACTTGAGTAATACTTTTCCTTTTTTAAAATGCTTTCTCTTGAGCTTCAATATAAGCCTGGGAGATAGGCTGGATAAATGCTCTTCTCTCCATTTTGCACGTGAGGAAGTAGATCCTTGGAGAGCCTACTTGGATTGCACAGAGAGAGTAACGGTGGCAGGACCAGAAGAATCTGGCCTTTTCTTCCTGCAGACTTCCTCTAATTCGTGCACTGAGGGGGGGGGTGTCCCTCACCCCGGCCCCTGGCAGTGGGTGACCCCTGGGAGATGTCCCCCTGCCGTGAGTCCAGCCTCTGACTGAGAGTGCCCACCAGGGGGCAGCTCCTGAGGTGAGCGTTTCCCCCCTGGTGGTCAGTGCGCATCAGATTCAGAGAGAGGAAAACTCTCTTCTCTGTTCTCTTTCTTTTCCTTTTTAAAATATATTTTTATTGATTTCAGAGAGAAAGGGAGAGAGACAAAGAGATAGAAACATCAATGATGTGAGAGAATCATTGATGGGCTGCCTCCTGCATGCCCTGCATTGGGGATCCAGGCCGAAACCCAGGCATGTGCCCTTGACTGGAATCGAACCTGGGACTTTCAATCCACAGGCTGATAGGTTCTCTTTCCTCTTTCTGAAACATGTATTGTATTGTTTTTCTCAAGGTGACCTTTTGACAATTTACTTTTTTTTTTTTTTGCTATTATTTTTATTGCAAGTGATAATAAAATCAGGGTTACAACCAGTAACACTCTGGGCTGCTGAAACCCTCTCTCTAGGTACACAGAAGGAAGTCAAGGCTGGAATTCCACTCTATTTGTCTATATCTCTCTTGTTGTCTGAGATTAGATGGAGTGAGGCCCGGCTGTTGAAAGAAGTACAGAATAGTGGGAAAGGTGGGGTCAGGAGACCTGGATTTTGGTCCTAGGTCTCTCCCACTCACTTCTGGCTTGGTGCAGTCCTCTATCCTCTCTGAATGAACAGTGCATATCACCCTCCCCCCGCTACTCCCCCCCACTCCACCAAAGAATAGGCGGGCCCACAGGACTCTGGAGCCCTGTCCCCTAAGGCGCACTGGCTTCAGAGAATGGCGCATGAACAGCTCGGTTTCTCCAGGAGCATTTCGTAGTTAGGGTTCTGTTCATCCTCATCTATTGAGGAATAACTGATATCACTGATGCTGATGCGGAAATCTCCGCTCTCTCTTTGGTGTCCTATGTCCCAGGAGCTCTCACCTCGGAGCCCTGTGTCCCAGGAGCTCTCACCTTGGAGCCCTGTGTCCCAGGAGCTCTTACCTAGGAGGCCTACGTCCCAGGAGCCCACTGGAGACCCATCCCAATTCTCCACGCATGGGTAACGCAACCAGGCTGCCGCCTCTTGTGCCAGCCGCCACCAGCCGTCTCCGCCTGGTCCAGCTGCAACGTTTCCTGTAGGGTCAGCTGGGTCCAGAATCACAGGCCTGGGTTGCTTGAGCTGTCTCCTCAGATACTGACCAATAATAGGATTTTCAAAGTCGTAATACTTAGTCCAGTAGATGCAAAGCTTCCGGTAGTCCACGACTAATTCCAAGACGGTCCGAAATCCCTGGGCTGTGCTGAAGGAGGTCACCTTGCAGCCACGCTCCCAGGCGTAGACGGTGAGCAGCTCCAGGGCGTACTGCGGCGGCAGCGGCTTCCCCCGGCGCTCCCTGCACAGCTGGTACCAGTGCTTGACCAGGCGGATGAGGCTCTTGAGCTTGGTGGGCCGCTGCCGCAGGAAGGCTCGCTGCAGCTCCGTGAAGCAGGGCGAGAACTCGCCCTCCTTCCCCAGGCTTGTGCACTCATCGATGAGCCGGACGTAGATTTGGGGATCAGGTCTGTAGTCTTCGTGGATGTGCGGCTCTGGCCCTACCGTCCACAGACCCAGGACGTCAAAGGCGGGCAGGACATCAAACTCCACCTTGTGGTCCAGCTCCGGGGAGCGGAACGCGAAGCTGAGCGCGCGGGGCTTCCCTGGTCGTCGAGGCTTCCGGATCTCAAACTGCACTCCGGTCTCAGTCTCTCTCTGAAAGGCTTTCAGCTGCCGCCTGATTTCCTGGATGAACTCCCCGCGGCGGTCTAACTGCTCCCGGAAACTCCTGAGCTCGCTGAGGAAGACCACGAGGTCAGCGTCAGAGCGGCCTCTGAGGGTCGTGCCTTTGCCCAAGGAGCCGCCCTTCACCACTTTGGACACCCGGACGGGGTGGGAGGCATCTTGGAAACACCTCTCCTTGAGGAAACTGCAGATTTCATTGACGGCTTTTCTGACCCTCATGCGGAAAGACCTATTTGGCTCGAGGTGGTCTTTGATGAACTTGTCCAGATTCATGGCCGAGGTTCGCCTGAGCTCCATCGTGACGCTCCGGCAGGGACAGCAGAACCACAGCTACATGGTGATGCTCGGGCAGGGACAGGAGAACCGCTGGCCGCAGAGGTGGCTGCAGAAAGTGTCAGCCTCTCTTATCTTCTGCTGCCAGAGTCTGCACTGCTTTAGGTTTCGTTTCCTGAGAAGGGAGGAGCTGTGTCTTTGGTTTTGCTTCTTGGCAGATCAAACAATCTTGGGTTCCTGCTCTCCCATCCTGCTCCTCCCCTTGCTGAAATGTACCCTCTGCCTTTTCTGATCAGCCCTTTCTTCAGACTGTACTCTGCTCTTTATCCCCTATTAGTGCCAAGAGCAAACATAATTCAAATCTGATTTTTGGTTTCCTTCTTCCTGGTTTTTCTTCTCATTGCTGACACAATTGTCTCCTATGATCTTTATAGTCTCCTATGATTTTTTTAATTTAATTTTTTAGTTACAGTTGACATTCAATATTATTTTGTACTAGAGGCCTGGTGCAAGGCATTTGTGTCCTGGGGGAGGGGCGGGGGAGGAAAGAGGGGCTGTACCTCAGCCGGGCCCCTGGCAGTGGGTTACCCCTGGGGGATGTTCCCCTGCTGTAAGCCCAGCTTCTGGCTGAGAGCGCCCACTGAGGGGCAGCTCCTGAGTTGAGCGTCTCCCCCCTGGTGGTCAGTGCGCCTCATAGCCACCGATCATTTCATAGTTTGGTCGTTTGCATATTAGCATTTTAGCGTATAGGATTAGTTTCAGGTATACAGCACAGTTAGGCATTTATACAATTTAGGAAGTGATCCCCTGGATATTTCAAGGACCCATCTGGCATCCTACATAGTTACTACAATATTATTGCTACTGAATTCAAGGGGTTTGCCACTCAAGTTGTCTACTCAAAAATGAGACCTGGTGGTTGCAAGGTAAATTTTATTTATATGCAGCAAGTAAAGGAGATGGATTCCTATACACAGCTCTGCCTCCCTGAAGGGAGGCTTAGCTATTGCTTATGTACAGGTTGATTTCTTCTCTGTAGTTGGCCACATTCTATCCAATTGAGCTCCTGTCAGCTCATCCTGTTAACTACTGCATCTGCAAAATACTGGGTTGTGTTTTAACATTTAGCAAGAAATAATATTTGGAACTACCCAAGCTTTTGACCTTTGTTCTATTCAAAAACAATTTACTATATTCCTTATGCTGTACTTCATACACATTCCCATGATTATTTTGTAACGACTGATGCCGGAGGCTAAGTCCAGCAGGTCATAATAAACGTGAGAAGTCCTCAGATGGACACCTTCAACAGGGCTGAAGATCTGCATATCATTACCTGCTGCCAAACAGCTGAGAGAAATTCCTCTGGCCTAAGAAACCTTTATTGTTTATCAAACCTTACCTTTGATATGTATATCTGCTTTGTTAAAAGGAAAATGTGTGAATAAAAAGCCTTGGGTCCGGACATTCAGAGAGCTCACCACAAGAGTGAATCCTCCCCTATCTCCCCCATGCCTTCAAAATTTATATTTCTTGTCTAGTTTATCCATTTATGAGCATCCTTTCTCCAGATTCTGGAATGCTTGCAGAGGAAAAGACTGTGGCAGACTGATTATACTCCCTTCACCTTTTTCACCCAGGCCCTCAACCCCTCTTCCAACTGGAAACGATTAGTTTGTTCTTTGCATCTCTAAGGCTGTTTATGTTTTATTTGTTCATTTATTTCATTCTTTGAATTCCACATAGTACAAGTGAAATCATATGGTATTTTTCTTTCTCTGAGTTACTTCACTTAGCATAATACCTTCTAGGTCTACCATGTTGTTGCAAATGGTAATATTTTAATTTTTATGGCCAAGTAATAAATATTCCGTTGTGTGTGTATGTGTGTGTGTGTGTGTGTGTGTGTGTGTATATATATATATATATATATATATATATATATATATATATATATAAATATATATATATATATATATATATATATATATATATATATATATATATATAACAACTTCTTTATCCTCTCATCTATTGATGGGCATTTGGTTGATTCCATGTCTTAGATATTTTAAGTAACTCTGCAATGAGCATAGGGATGCATATATCTTTTTGATTTAGTGTTTTTTATTTTTTGGGATATATACCCAGAAGTGAAATTGTTGGGTCATAAGGTAGTTTAATTTTAATTGTTTGAGGATTCTCTATACCGTTTATAGTAGCTGCACCAATATGCATTCCCACCAACAGTGCTCTTGAGTACCCTTCTCTCTACATCCTCACTAATACTTATTTGTTGTTGAGGTATTAATGAAAGCCATTCTCTCAGGTGTGAGATATATCAGAAAAAAATATTATCATGAGAAATGTCCAAGATTTTACTACCTATGTTTTCATTTATTATTTTAATGGCTTCAGGTCTAACATTTAAGTATTTATCCATTTGAATTTCTTCTTGTGCATGGTGTAAGAAGATGGTTTGGTGTCATTTTTTTGCATGTATCTGTCCAATTTTCCCAACATTATTCATTAATACACTGTTTTTACCCATTGTGTGTTCTTGCATCCTTTGTTAAATATTAACCATAAAGGCATGGGTTGTTTCTGGGCTCTCTAGTCTGCTCCACTTATCTATATTTCTGATTTTATGCCAGTGCCATCCTGTTTTGATAGTAGTATAGTTTCATGTCAGGTAGTGTGATTCCTCCAACTTTGTTCTTTTTAAAGGTTGCTGTGACTATTTGGGGTCTTTGGTGATCTCATATAAGTTTTTGGATTATTTGTTCTAGCCCTGTGAAAAAGACCATTGGTATTTTGATAGGTATTTTATGGAAACTAAAGGTTGCTTTGGGTAGTATTTTTATGATACTAATTCTTTCTATCCATAAGTATGGATATGCTTTATTTTATTTGTATCTTCTTTAATTTATTCAATGTTTTATAATTTTCCTAGAATAGAAAATAATTGGTTAAATTTGTTCCAAGGTACTTTTTAAATGCAATTGTAAATGGGATTAATTTCTCAATTTCTCTTTCTGATAGTGCATTATTGTTGTATAAAAATGGAACTTGCCCTACCCAGTTTGGCTCAGTGGATAGAGCATCGGCCTGCGAACTGAAGAGTCCTGGGTTCAATTCCAATTAAGGGCACATGTCTGTATTGCGAGCTAGATCCCCAGTAGGGGGTGTGCCAGAGGCAGCTAATCAATGATTCTCTCTCATCATTGATGCTTCTATCTCTCTCTCCCTTTCCCTTTCTCTCTGAAATCAATAAAAAATTATTTTTTAAAAATGGAACTTATTTCTGAATATTTATTTTGTATCCTGATACTTTATTGGATAGTTTACTCTTACTATGATAAAATTGGGATCTTGAAACCTATTTTCTTATACTCAAGATAAAATTCTGGCGTGGGAGATTGGGACACCCTGCTCTAAAGGCAGCCATAGTGGATGTTGAACTTCCTAAATGGAAGCAGGATTTACCATGATTTTCGTGGGCTTAAGGGTATTTAGTGCTAGGAAATGAAAGACCCTTGAAAAAGTTCAACCTTTCCCAAACATGAACACTAAACAATTACCAGCCAACCTGAAACCTCAATCCACAGTTCTTCCTCATTCCAACCTTCCAAGACCTGGGAAAACAAAACTACACATGCCATTCGAGGGAAAGGCGTCAGGGAGGAGGTAAAGTTTCACCTGCCCTGGAGATAGCTGAATCACTGTGTGCTCTCAGGGAGGAACAAAAAAACATGGCCTGGGGCCAAGACTTGTGAAGAAAAAGGTGTACATTCGGAATTACAGCCTTTGGAGTTGTCAGTGGGACCCTTTCACAATTTACTGTTTTCATTTGGTTATTTTTATACAACTAATTTGCACCAGATAGTTAATTTAGCATTTTGATCATATCCTAAAAATGATCCTTTTGTTCTAGCTGATAAGTAATAAAGTACACACCCAGTAATACACTCATATAAAATTTCCATCAGGCTTTACAATAAATGCCTAGCATTTTCTTTTTCTTTTTAGAATGCTCAGTTAATGTCTCAGGCTGAACAAGCTAATTAAAAGGGCTAAATAATTACAATAACTAATTTCCTAATTAATTCATTCTTCTCAATTTAATATAATTAATTTGGCTGACATAATGAACTTTAACATGAATTTTGATATCACTACACTTACTTAAACAGTTTTAAAGTCATTTCAGAATGTCATACACTTATTTAGAGAGCACCTGATATAGTTAAGTACTGTCATTTTATGGAGTAATTTCTATATAAGTAGGTAACATCTTGCTTTATGTAAGTTATGTAAGTCACCAATAAAATTGTAAATAGTTGTTACATTGCTGTATGGAATTCATTTTTAAAATGACATTTCCAGAATCTATTTTTAAATGAGTTAAGATGTAAATTATTTATTAAAATCATGTCCTAATTATTTTATTCACGTACACATACCAGTTTAAAAAATGTGATTTAAAGTGAACATATTTTGGAAAATGTGTTCAAATAGCCAAACAGCACTTTTCATGTCCAATAGGTTTCATAAAGTACTAGTTAACTAGCAGTCAGATAAATATATATACACATATTTATTTCTGAAATCTGAAGTAGTTCTTCTCTCTTACCTGGGATGCTGTTAGACTTGATCTGTCTAGGATTCATATTAATTTAATGTAAAATAAAGAGAGATATTCTTAAAATGACTTTGTTATCAGGAAAACACTCATCTTGTGACTTTTAGTTTCCAAAGGGTGCCATAAATCAAAATGACTATTTGACATTAAAAATAAGGCGTGTTGATATTTAAAAACATCTTGTTACAAACAAAACATAGATACACCACAGTTTGGTGGGACTGTACAGCCATTGAGCTGTAGTAGCCCCCAAGTAGGATTAAAAGCTTTCCAACACTGATCAGTCTCTGTCATACTAATTCGGGAAAGTAAATAACTGAAACTAATCTCCTAGCTCTAAATCAATATTTTGTGATAACTTTAATTTATTTTTTTTGCTATA